AAATTAATATTATATAATATATTGGTATATATTATATAATTTAGTATATAATACCATACAATTTTCAAAGAAAAATATTTGAGTAATAATTATAATTTTAAAACATTAAATACTTTTTTGATAATTTAACAAATATAGCTACATAAATAAAAAATATCTTTTTTTTAATACAGTTAAAATTATAATTTTTATAATTTGTCAAATTTAAACAAACAAGTTAAAAGTTACTTTTAAAAAGTTATATGCAATTTTAATGAAACAATAATTTTTTTTATTTAAATATAACTTGTATCATATCTTATTGATATATTTTAAACACATTATGTATAATATAATAATATTATTTAAATAATAAATAACATTAAAGTTTATCTTATTTTATAATGTTTTATTTTTATTATTATTATTTTTTTATATTTTATCTTTAACTATCGAACAAGCATGAAGATATGAATATAAAAACTTCAACATAATATTTTATCAGCTGAAGTTACACTCATGAACATAAATTTATTTTTAAATATCAGTTTTAACAAACTTCCTGAAAAAAAATGATAAATTAGGTTGGTGATTTAAAATTTAAGGATATTGAGAACGTCCTCCAATACTCTTTCTTCCCTAATCACCCAAAGAGTATTTCTATCCATTCTCCATAAGAGCTTCACTCACACACGGGTCAACTTTTCCTACTTTACACATCTCAAATTCTCAATAAGTTTTACAAAATCAAAACCCAAAGATATGCAGATAAGACAAGTTCTAAAACACATGTTAATAAAAGTTTGACTCTTGATACCATATATGAAAAAAAGAAATAAAATTTAGAACACTTATTCTGGTAATCTCTGAATTTACAAGAGACTACTACTAGTCTTATCGCCTTGTCGGTTAGAAATGTAGAATACCCTTAGCATGCACTTAAAAAGAATAGTATAAGATTGATATAAATTGATACGTGTGTAATCGTCACGCATGTAAATACCCCATGATAAAGTATTAGTTTTAAAGGAACAAAAAGTGGGTCAGGTTCCATGAATCTGAAGCTGAACTTGTTATCGATGCGATTATTCTTGTAATTCTTACCTTTTATTATTATTTTAAGTCAATGGGATTGCACTTCGCGGTAATAAAACAAAAAAAAAAAGAACCTAGTCTGAAGGCTTCGGTTCGCAACTGTAAACATGCCATGATTGGAACGATGAGTGATGTAGAGACAATTTACTAGTCGGCGAACCCAACCAACTTTAAGTGGAAAGTAAAAAGCTTCGATTGGTGGGGAAGGACTCGGTTAGTAAAATGCACCAGAATGTAGGTTTAATTCTTATTATGATTATTTTTATAATTTTTTTATTTTTATAAAAAATAAAAAAGTTAAAACACTTTGTGTCTCTGATATATAGATAAATATTAAAAGTTAAAAGTACTATTTTAAAAAAAATATAATTTTTTTACATTTTAAGGAATATAATAATCTACTAAAAAAATAGAAATCAAAGAATTGATTATCAAAATATATTCTTTTTATAATAAGTATAGATAATGTGCAAAAAGATGAGGTTATTTTTTGAAATTATAGTCTTTCACATAATTATCTTTAAGGATCTATTTTATTTGTGTATCTTGTAATTACAATTGTATGTGTTTTTAAATATAAAACATAAAATTAACATTAATCCACATAAAAATATTATAAAATTATTTTTAATTGATATTTATTTTAAATATTTTATTATATTTAATAAAACTAAATATATTTTTAGTCTTTATATTTTTTGTTAGTTTTTATTTTTATTTTAAGAATAATTTTTTTACTAATTATACTCCCTGAACTTTTGTCAAATTTTACTTCTAATTTTTTAGAATTTTCTTTCATTAACATTTTGGTTTGTGACATACTGACATCAACATTTTTTGTTCATGAAATTTTTTTTCACAAATTAAAACCAAATAAAATATGTTAAAGGATTAAAAATATATTTAATCCTATTTTTAATATTACTTAAAGAATTTCAGATGTTTGACTATCGTACAAAATCATGTTTTATTTTTCTTCTAAAATAAAAAAGTTCAAGAAAGTAAGTAAATATTTTATGGACCAATGAGCAGTTCCATGAAGAGGTTTCGGCCTTTTGGGCTTGGGCTTGGGCTTTGACAAAAAATACAAAATAAGAGCCCAATCCAACCGCCAAGAATATGTGGGCAATACAGGGAAAGCAATTGAAAAACGTGGAGGGAAAAAAGCATATGAAATTGGCGCTAAGGCGGCAAGAGCCAAAAAGGTGTAACTTGCGCACACCTCTGCTACGCCGCACCCTCTCTTTCCTTGTATCTTCTCTGCCACGCCATTTGATTCGATGTTATTCTCGGTGCGCTCTCAGAACTCTTCAAGGTACGCTTTCTCGTCCCAAACCTCTTCGCTATATTAATTGCTTCTTTATTCGAAATCTCTTCTCCATATTAATCGATTCTTTGTTCGAAACCTATACTCTATATTAATCGTTGTTCCAAACCTTTACTTCATAGTAATCGATTCATTATTTGAAACACCTACTCTCTATTAATCATTGTTCGGAACCTTTACTATGTGAATTCACTGTTACTGCAATGTTTGAGTCAAAATTAGTTTCTCATTCAATGTTTCTCTCGATTATTGTTCGCTTGTATATTAAGAACGTAATTAGATATCGCAATTAATTTTATAGTTTTTTATGAGATATTTTAGGTCATAGAAAGTTTGAACGATGCGGTTTTTTCTTCCACTTGTTTCAAGGCTATTTTCTGTTGCTAAATTTACCGAGTTTTGAACAATTACAGCGAGTTAATAAGATCCATTTTTGTTGCTATTAGAATCAGAATTTGTAGAGTTAGGATGCAATTTTGTTACTATTAGAATCAGAATTTGGAGATTTAGGATGCAATTTTGTTGCTGTTAAAATCAGAATTTGGGCTAGATAATTAATCCGTAGAGGACAGTATTTCGTTCTTCCTTTTGCTAATGGAATTCTGAAGTAAAAAAATCAGATTAAATGTGCAACTGGCAATGGTGAAGTGAGGGACATAATATTCAAGTTGTGTATCTCAGCATAAATTGGGGGAAAAGTACGCCCAATTCCCCTCAAGGCATTACATAGCTCACACTCATGTAATTTTTTTTTTTGAAAACAAGAAAGAAACTAGAGCCTAAGTGCTACTAATAATACATTATTGGGGTCCTAATCTGGAAAACTGCTCAGTCTCTGAGCATGATAAGAAGAACTAAACGTTAAATTAAATAATGACTTCGTCATTTTATAGACGCTACTGAACAACACAGCATGGGATGAATAATACTGATTATTAGTCTTCAGTCTCTTCCCGTTTCTTGAAGGTTGCTACTGTTAGAAATCAATTCCGGATGTTCTATATTTGATTTTGATCCTCGTGATTTTGCCGAACTCGATTCCTTTTTTGTCTTCTCTTTTGTCTTGGCTAACTTGCTTGCTGGGAAATGTAGCCTAGCCATCAGAGGACGGGGTGCTCGTGTTTCCCTGTCAAAACCCCGCACACAGACATAACCTGCAAAACATTCTTTCATCCATTAATTTTGATACGTTATGTTATCTTGATGCCTGCTTTACTATTCAGTTATGACATGGTTCCACCGAATTAGGGTTGAATGGTTCATAATCATTTATTTTCCTCTTTTTTTTCAAATTAATAATCTACTCCAGTACACAGTTTGAATAGTGATGCTTTCACTCTCTTGACTCTCATCGTGACACTCAATATTTCCTCTCTTCCTCCTTTTAAATGTCCATTTCAAACATTATGCACAACTATCTAAAAAAATTCTCTCAATCATCTCAAAGTATCATCTTATTTTTGTGTATACTTAAAACTACTTAGTTTTACGTTCTACTATCTATCTTTTATATATACTTCTAAATTGAATTTCAATAATTTTTTTAAAAAAATTATTAATAACTAAAAAATAACCTTCTATCACAATTTAAATTATTTATTACTAGAGGGGTTTGTGCCTCTAATAGTTATTCATTAATAAAATATTAAAAAATTGTGTATAATTATTTAAAGAAAATTTAAGATTTTTTTTTTATCTGGGAGTATAATGGTCCATTAAAAATGGAAACCAAAAAGTGGTTACATCTCCTATATCCCCTTTATCTGGGGGTATAATGGTCCATTAAAAAATAGAGACCAAAAAGCGGTTACATCTCCTATATCCCCTTTATAATAGTTATAGATATAGATTATAGATAAACCCAAAAATATAATTAATGAATTGAAAAATTATTTATTATACATTTTAATTATATAAGATAAACATTATTATTTGTAATGCAAAGTAAAATACTGGTAATGATTATAATAATAAAAACTAGCAAGACAGCAAGAGCTAAATTTTTTTAGTACATTTGTAAATATTGAAGTTCTCAGCCTTTGCTTGTAATTTGTATTTCAAAGTAGTATTTCGTATTTATATATACGTTCATGATGCAGCCTAATGTCAGAAAAGCAAGGAACCAAATCAACCAATAGTGTCATATATAGAGGCGTATGGAAATAAGATGGCCGAGAATTTGTCAAAAATCTATGTAAAGGTAACTAAACATACATGTCGGAAGTATTCTAATATGTCTGAGTGTTAGTGTTAGTGGGCATGCATGCTAGAGTGCGCACTAATCTTCCACTAGAAGAGAATATGGATAATGAAAGACTGATAATGAAATGACTGAAAAAGAATAAACCATCAAATAAATCTTTCAATATTACGCTCTATTTAGTCCCCCTAAAGTAATAATGTTATATGATAAGTAATCCTTTTAAATATAGAATATTTATCGGTTTAGTCCCTGACTTAATATTTTTTTTATTAACATTCAGGGAGCAACTTTGATGAATTTTTTAATATTTGAAAAAAATACTTATTATGATTTCTAATACTTCGGGGTTTATTCATATAATTTTCTTACTTTAAGGGCAACTCAGGAGGGAGGGTAAAACCTTAGGATAAAATTGAGGGTTTACTCGATTGAAAAACAAGGAAACAAGGTTGCTAGAATTATTAGACGAAGTGTTTTTGGAATGGGCTGCTATGGCACAAGGGAATTGCTATCAAGTATTTCAGTTACCGTTGAAGGAGTTTTGATACCATAGTGCACTGTAGGGGGAAAGTGCAAATTGCTAAATAGGCTTCAATAGGTCAAAAAATGCTTCTGGATGAGATGAAGACAAAAACAAGGCACCCTTCGCTACACCAATAATTTACTCTAGTAATTAGGTTTCATATCTTTCTCATTGCTTACGAAGGAAGTTATGGTTTTGGTTCATTTGTTGGTTATCTTTGATTTTGTTAGCATAGTGCTGTTGATTTGTGCAATCGAACCAAACAAGCTTTAGTAGCACTTACGATAATAGAAGTATATGCATATATAATGCATAGATGCTTGCAAAATTAACCTAAAAGCTGTAAATGTAAGGTGGCATATTATGGTGGCGTCTAGTGTTTTTAGCAAATGCAGCGGGAGAACTGCATTTATTTAGTCCTTTGACCCTGAAAGTATGCCTAAAAATGCAATTTAGTGATGTTAATCACACCAACGAAAACCGGCTAAAGTAGGATATTGAATTAACAAAGCAGTATTACATTCTGTGAATGTGAATTAAATCTTACCCCTCCAAAAGCATTGTTGAATTTCTTGTGTTGTTAAACCTGATCGACAAAAATCATATATTCAACTCCATTGTTTGAGGTATAGTAACTTATATCTTAAATAAGTTACTATGAATTCTTAAGTCTTTACCTTTAAATATTGTTGGTACAGAGGTTCCAAAATATACTGTTCGCCTATTGAGGTTCCAGATCCAACTTCGGGGTACACTGATTGGGTCAATACTTGAGACATGATCAGCAAATACCTGGTTCAAATGATACTAGTTGTACTGCTTAAATTTCAATATGCAAGTATAAGAGGAAACGAGATTTAGCAAACTGAAGATCTCACATTACTTTACCTCATTGACTTGGAAATAGGTGCCATTCAGTGGAAAGCTCCCCCGCATAGCTGTTCGACATGGTATCTGTTCATATTTATCATGAACTCAGGTCAGTTTATCATAATGCTTGAATTACAATGCAGATGTGTTCCCTTCCCTGGCCCCATAATTAATACGAATTAGTAAGCAACATATGGTTAAAACAATGATTTTGATAAGCATTCAGACCAGGAGTGTCCCTCTAACTATCTGTGAATTTGCTTCACGGAAACTGTTGCACGAGAAACATTCCTTCTCATTACAGAGCTGCCCGAATTCTTCTTGAGAGCTGCATTTACTTTCTGGTGGCTGTATAGAATTTGCTGTCTCACCTAATGTAATAATTTATTTGGGAAAATGAATTAGGAAACACCAGAAAGCTGAAAGAAAATATTTATTTAAAAATTTCCCAAATAACGGTGCTGTTACATGGAGCAGACAAAGACTAGACAGTGCCTCTAAATTCATCTGAAAGGAGGCAAGATAATGAAATTGTTATTCTTGTCTACCTGGAGTCCATATAGCAAGAAGGTATTTGCCTGGATCATCAGGCTCACGTGTGTCCCACTGTAATGCACAAATAGTTAATAAAAGATGGACATACAGGGTAAAACATAGCTTTGATTAATAGATGCTGCAATAACTAACCCCTTGCAGAAGAGGATGTGTATCTGGAAGTTCATAACTGTATAAAGGTAAACAAAATCAGTATAAGTTGTTAGAATTTTTTACTACTGTAGCATGGTGGCTGTGATGCCTTCTAAACTCTATGGATGAATTACATGCATCTTCAAACATTGCTGGATTAATAATTGTGGACATGTAATTACTGATTGCTGGTCTTGCTTTTACGGAAATCAGTATGAAATTTTGTTGGTGCCCTCAATGTTAAGTACATGGAGAATAGTTTGTTATTTTACTTACACACAGTGTTCTGTTCGTAATCGGCTCACATTCTTTAGCTTGGGCATAGGAATGGAAGCAGCTTCTGGATTCAAAGCAACCAATGCCTTTGACACTTCACCTTCTTGAAGTTCCATCTTTTCTTGCATGTAATTTTGTAAATTCAGAGCAAACTCTTCTATGTTAAGCTTGATGGTAGGAATTTCACATGAATCGTCGTAGAAAGCATCCTCAATGTCAGTTTGTGATACTTGTGAGCATTCTGGCTCTGGAGTTGTTGGCTCTTCAATGATAGGCTGGCAAATGTTTAATTCAGATTTTGATTCCAGTTGTCTGCACACTTCTGTTAGTTGAATTTCTTCTGCTTGGGTTGTGTTCTCAGGGGGAGGCAAGTGCAACTGACTGATGATTTCAGATGGATTCTGATCAATCACACTATTTCCAGCTGTGGTAACTATACTCTTCTGCTCTGGTCCAGGCAATGCAAGCCTTGCACTGCATACGATATTGTTTATTTGTAATTGATCTATCATAACTTGCAATACATGCATATTATTGGGTTCTGTGTGGTACTGAGATCATTTCCAGCTGTCACTTACGTAAACAATTCTTAATTAAGCCATTGTGATAAGGATAGAATGCAATAGTACGGCCATTATAATGAGCAAGTGAGTATTATAATTCTAGATATATGAACTTTCTTGTATTCTGCCTGACAAGTTATTAACCTATATTGTTAACAATACTTGCAGTGCCTTCTAGACTACTAAATTTTGTGAGGAGTTTTCATATTTCATATACATACCTTGCAAATGCACTAGCAAAGTGTCTACATTCTCCTCTCATTGGGCATGCATTACAATTTGGCTTGCTTTTTGTACAGAAGACCTGCATTTATTGTAGTTTTGTCCCAATCTTAATGGGTTTTGCTCAAGTAAGGTAAGTCTCTTGAGAAAATGCAATTTACCTTTCCAAAAGTAATCATCTGGTAATGTAGCTCATATCTGTAATATAACAAAAAAAGTAAAAAATCAAAAATCAATATCTAAACCCTTGCTAAAATTGCAGAAACAAAGAGAATTTATATATATATATATATATATATATATATATGTTTTTTATATATATTTTTATATATATCCCTAACTTTTATATAGGACGTATCCTATCGGGATGTTTGATTCTTTTTCTTTACCCCAAATTTTGCCTAGGACACCCTTCGCGGGTTTTCGTCCTACCGGGTTCTTAACATGGGAAAAAGGCAACTCCTAGTGTATTACAAATTTTATAAAAAAAATATTCAAAGAACAATTCAAAGAGAATATATATATATATATATATATATATATATATATATATATATTTAATGTTATTTTGTTATAGTAAATTGTAAGGAAAATTTACAGTGTTTTTTGATCTAGCTTGCACAGTCGAGGCCAGAGATATTTTTGTATAGATTCCAACACTGGGTACCTACATAGACAATGATATTAGTTCTTATCAACAAAATTAATGCCTCGTATCATTTATGCATTACTCACAATTCTAGGAGATGCAACTGCAGTGACTCAGGCAGTGGCTGCAGAGGGACCCATCCCAGCCGTACTGCTATACGTCCAACATTTGTGTCTACCTGTTATATGTCAATAATTTATCAATTATTCCATATTCCTGCAATTGCATACTACTTTCAACTTACCGGGAAGGCAAGATGGTGCAGTGTTAAAAGCCGCACACATTCCACACTTTTCAATCCCAATCCTCTTATGCTGAGCAAGTATTCTCTGTATGTATGAAATCAATTTTTATTATTGCCTTACTTGAAATATGTCTCACCACTTGTGTGAGTGTTGCTATTTGTGAATTCAGAGAGTTCAGGTTGTTGGTTTCACCAATCATGCAGTCAAGAAATGCTCACATAATTGTGTGTACGAGAAATAGTACTTCACTAAGTGGTTTAATTAACCACTGTACTTACTTTGCTTTGTCAGGTGGAACATCTCTAAGCCACTCAAGGTCAGTGCTTCCATGTTCTTCAACCAGCCGATTCAGGAAATCCTGCAGCGTATCATGTCATTTAAGCTCCATTCATAGGCTGTCTGTCTCAAAAAAGTTCTAAGTATTATTTTATGGAATTTGATGTACCTTAATGCGTTCTGCAAGCCTGTTGTTCATGCCCCGTTCTTTGATGGTCTTGGCAATTTCACTGACATCTGCACATCTCACAGCTTCCCAGTCCAAAGAATCCATGGTGTTTTCTGTCTTTTCTCTTCTCCCAGCCTTAGCTTGTGCTTCTATTCTTAAACTATCCCAGTTAAAATCATCCTTTTTTTCTTTTCCTTGTTCCCTGCTCTTTAATTTTATTGGGGCAGAACTTATCTCATTGTTTTCATTCCTCCTGACATTTTTGTGCTCATCCCTTTCTTTCTGCACAAGAACTTGAGTTTGTCCAGAAATGTTGAAAAAGCTTTGCTGCAGGTGATTGTTTGGTTCCTGAGGATGGACTTGAGATACAATGCTTTGAGAATGGGTTCTTGCAACTTCTCCTGCAGGTTCTTTTGTTTGAAAACTTGATCTGTTCATGCCATTTTCATCCTTTTTCTTTAAGAAGTCACTTGACGAGGTTTCTGTTTTGAAAGGATCAAAGCAGTTAACATCAAGCATTCCTGAGTCGGGGGTGAGTTTCAAAGTATATTCAAGGGATTGGGTGATGGATGCTTCTGAAGAGCCTTCTGTACAATTTGATTTTTTCAAGCTTTCTACTGGATTGTTATGCGGCATGTGTATAGGTTGATCATATGCACCGCTTAAGTTCTCAGTTGATTTGCTTTTTTGACTGTTGTCTTCATAAAATTTGGATGAACTAACCATTTCAAGAAGTTTACTGAAGGAAGTGCTGCTATCAAAATGGTTGTACTTTGTTGTGCTGGAGAGATCTTCTACTTCTGAGTTACTATCTGAGTATGATCCTACTTTCTCAGGATTTTGATCATTTGAAAAATCTCCAGATATTTGGGATGAAATGACAGAGCCTTGGGATGAAACTATGTCATGTAACTCTTTCCTATCACCATCACAACATGATTTTTCTTCTGCTTCCTCAATCGTATCACTAAGTAGTCCACTCCTCATTGGACTACAGTGTTCCTTTGTATTTCTTTGGGATAATTCCGAAAGTCTGGAGTTTGATTCATCTGTGCTAATCACACTGCTGTTAGTTCCACAGGAATCATTGCTGTTGATAGCTTCTTTTTCTCCAGAATGCTCAACAATGTCTAGTGTTAGAGAACTCTGGTCATAAACAGATTGATTCAATAATTTTGCATCCCATTCCGTGCTCTCTTCTGGTTCCACTATATGCACTTGTGTTTCGTTGATTACCAGCCTTGAGTCTTCCGCATGGTGTGTTTTGCACTCACTGCTTGATTTTTTGGGAAATCGAGCAGCAAGGGACATGTATGCAGAGCTGTCAACAGAGAGCAGAAAATGTTGCTGTGGCATGTCATCAAGTTATAAATTTGCCAAAATTTAGCTTATAGAGTTTATACCTGGAAAGATGGTCAGAGACATTTTGAGTGAGGAAAACTCCAACCACTGAATCCACAACTGATCCTTTCCATCGAGAAAATCTTCTGTCTCCTGTTGATTATGATTTATATTAATATATGAACTCTGTTACCAATGCCAATTAATGCAATGGAAGAAGCTCTTATTAACTTAGTTTTTGACTGTTCATGGAGTAGGGATTTTCTGCACATTGTTGTTTTCTAAATTTCAAGACAATTCTTATTGCAATTATTTCTCTTCTAAGTTGTAACATCATCTTGAGTACATGCATTCATTACACTATATTTCAGTAAGTGCCATACGTTTCTTAGTCAAATTCATAGTAGTCAATAGCGGCCGGAGCGGCCGCTATCGCGGCGCTCCGGAGCGGAGCGGCCTCACCCCGCAATCTGGCTGCTGGAGCGGAGCGGATTTGTGTAGCGGCTGGAGCGGCCGCGTCGGAGGAGGAGCGGAGCGGCCCAAATCGCGGAATCGCGGCGCGATTTCAGACTTACCCTTCATTAAGGGTAAGTCGGTCTTTTCAATGGGGTTTTTTTTGCCCTAATCCTCCACTTCCCTCTCGCGATTTCAGACTCATCCAAACCAAACCCCTCCTTTCGTCTCTCCCTTTCTTCTTCTCTGGCTATCGTGCGTGCAGCGTGCAGCTCCGACGAACTCCGGCTCCGACGCACCTCCATCGCCGACGCGCCTCCAGCTCCGACGCACCTCGGACTCCGACGCGCCTCCAGGTCCGACGCAGCTCCGACGTGGCCGCAAGCTCCGACGCGCGTTTGTCTTCTATTCTCCTTCTATTCTCCTTCGAGGATGCCTTTTATGCAACATGCAACATATTTTTTTTTAATTATTTATTAAATTATTTCAACTGATTTTTTTTTAATTTCTGATTTAATTTAATTGAACAAATTTTATTTTTAAATTCTGATTAAATTTAATTCAACAAATTTTATTTTTAAATTCTGATTAAATTTAATTCAGCAAATTTAATTTTTAATTTCTAATTAAATTTAATTCAGAAAATTTTATTTTTAATTTCTGATTAAATTTAATTCAGCAAATTTTATTTTTAATTTCTGATTAAATTTAATTCAGAAAATTTTATTTTTAATTTCAGAAAATTCTATTTCTATTTCAGCAGCATATTTTTTTTAATTTCTGATTCTATATATATATATATTATTAATTATTTTTGTTTTTTTAGCTTTTATATATATATTATTAATTATTTAATATATATAAATTAATATTTAAATAGCGGTTATCCCGCTCCGCGTCATCCCGCTATCCCAGTTTTAGGGTCGGCCGCTCCGCGCCGCTATCCGGGATTGACTACTATGGTCAAATTACATGGGAGTCATTGAGATTTAAGTACAGTACACCTGAAAAAATATTTCAGCTACTTATCTTTACATTGTACTATGCTAAATCAGCAGTTATTGTTTTCTTTGGGGGTTTGTTATGCATAAGATATGCTGAAGTTTATGAACGAAGAATGAGATATTGGATGCTATTTTATCTGTCTTACTCTTGCAAATTTCTTGCCTTTAATCAATTACAGAAAAAACCCAATTGATGACTGCCAAAGTGGAGGTACTTACATTTTTTAAACACTAAGAGTGGCCCATGCTTTGCTCTCGTGACACTATCACTGGCCTAGGTAGTTCAAATCATTTCATAATTCATGGTTGTGGTGGTATAGGGAACCCATTTTTGTTGTAGTTGTTGGAGGGTGGGGGTTTACCACCAACTTATTGCTTCACATTTATGGAAAGTAGGAAGACAGATAATGTTTTAGTATTCTTTTAAAATGTAGTTTTGCTGTGCATCTTCTTTCTTTTTCTCATTTTTTCCACTTCATTAATCACATGTAAGTTGGTGCTTTGCTAGAGGACTAGAGGTGTGTGTCAAAGGTGAATAATGTCAAAAACTGATACCTTGTACAAGATGCATCCTTGCAATAAATGAGTCTGCTCGTCCACGGAACACATTTCGTTCTTCTTCCCACCACTTGGCCTTACCTTCATCAGTTCCATCAATCCCATGACTGTTTATATCTAGCAACAAAAGCTTCCAAACTCTCTCAGTCTCATCGTCAAGGTCAACTTTTGGTCGTGGATGCTGTTTCTTGTTTTGAAAGGGAACAATGACCCCATTTCCATGGTTAAGGCTGTTTTGCTGCTTATAAGGGACCAGTGCATTCTGCTCATGTAATGCAAGGTCTCTGGCTTCTGTGTTTATGTTTAGTCGTCTAAATTGCTCTGTTAATGCATCAATATAATTCATGGTTTTCCATAGTACTTCAGGAGCAATGTCTGCAATGCCAAAAATTACATTGTGGAATTATTTGTCTTTTGAGATGTATATAGTGTTATTGGCATAAAAATAAGGATTCAGTTCAAATACCTGATGACATCCCCATTGGAAAGGGGTAATTTCCCAATGTAAAATGATGGTGCTGTAGCATCTTATTTGTGCTAGAATGTGCTGAACTGGGAAGAACACTTTTCTTTCTATTCCGCTTCTTTTTTATGAGTGATGCACGTGTCTCTACAACTAAAGCATCAATGCATGTTTGTTCTCTGCCACAGGCTACTTGTTTTGCAGTACAATTTGGTTCAGTATCACAGTTTCTAATTCTAGTTAGAGAACCACGATCACTAGTAGAGGATTGAGATCTTTCTGCCAGCCTTTTCAAAGACAAGACGAACTCATCAAATGTTTGAGTATTATCAATAGAACTTTCTGTCAATTCACTTATGGCTGGGACTCCAGCTGCATTATATCTTGAACCATAAATCCAGCAGCCGGAGCTTGATGCATATGGATGCACTAGAGCATCTTCCTGAGGATATGTCTGTTGGACTTCTTTTGTTGTAGTCACAGATGTAACATAAGTGATAGAAGTTTTCCCCTTATCAGTTCTCCTTTTCTTCTGTATGTTTGGAAACTGAACACATAAGTTAGTCTGGTATGAGGCAAGTCCATTATAGTGTGCCCCAATCAGATTCAGGCTGCTGTCATCTGCATGATTAAAGGTACCTGAATGTTTTCTCTTTGAACCAACCATTTGTAACCTTGTTGAACTTTGGTTATTACTGAGGTTTCCATCCTGAGCAGTTGCCTGGCCATTTTCGTTTATGTTTTCTACAGAGTTGACATTCAGCTTTGCCCCAAGGGGAGTGCTTCTTGAAATAGATGAACTTGGTTGTTGTGTTTCCTCAGGTAATGGCATGCAATTATTTAATGCCTCCTTCATCCAAGTGTCTTGATTATAGGTAAGGCCTACTTTTGTTTCCTGTAACACCATATTTTCCTTTCCAATGAGCAAATCTAAATTTTGTCTGCCTACATAATTTTCATCTCCAGTTCCCATGTCAAAATTTAAGGACCTTCTCCATGACATATTGTTAGATTCAAGCACCATTGCTTCAGTCAATTCGGTCATTTCTGTTGGAGGAATAGGAGATGGATTTGATTTGTTTTTCCTCACATACTTTCTCTTGGCTGTTGGGTTTTCTTTTGTTTTTTCCCCCGGGAGATTGATCTTTGAAGATGTACTTGGAGCTTGTGCTTCCTTAGTTAATGTCACATCATCATTTAATGCCTGCTTCATTGAAGTGCTTAGATCATAGGCAAGGCCTGCATTCATTTCCTGCATGACTACACCAATTTCACTGCCTGGATGTTTATTTGTATTCTCTTTGACTGCATAATTTTTATGTTTTGCTCTTTCATCAGAATTTGTGGATCCTGTGCATGACATTTGGGCAGATGCAGGGATTGCAGGCATCTTTATTTCAGTCAATTCTCCAGGTAATTCTGTTGGAGGAACAGAAATCTTGTTCATTCCTTTCCTTTTCACATACTTCTTGTCAGTTGGGTTTTCCTCTGACTTTGTCCCAGAGCTTTTTCTTCTTGAACGAGATGTATTTGGGGCTCGTTTGTCTTCTTGTAATGACATGGAACTGTTTGATGCTTGCTTCATGTAAGTGTTTAGATCATAGGCAAAGCCTACATTCATATCCTGCATGACTACACCAATTTCACTGCCCATATGCACAATTGGATTCTCTTGTACTGCATAACTTTGATCTCTTGCTCTTTCATCAAAATTTATGGACCCTGTAAACAACACTTGGGTGGATTCAGGCATCTTTTCTTCAGTCAATTCTCCAGTCACTTCTGTTGGAGAAGTCTTATATGGTCTTTTCTTTCTTGTATACTTCCTCTTGGCCGTTGGGTTTTCCTCTGGCTTTGTCCTGGAGCTTGTTTTTCTTGAAGATGCATTTGGGGCTTGTGTGTCTTCTGGTAATGATATGTAACTATTTGATACCTGCTTCATGGAAGTGTTTAGGTCATAGGCAAGGCTGATGTTCGTTTCCTGCATGACTAGACCAATTTCACTGCCAGGATGTGCTGTTGGGTTGTCTTTGACTGGATAACTTTGATATCTTGCTCTTTCATCTAAATTTACAGACCCTGTACATGACATTTGGGTGGATTCAGGCATCTTTTCTTTAGTCAGTTCTCCAGTAACTTCCATTGGAGGATCAGAAGTTTTGTTCACTCCTTTCCTTCTCACATACTTCCTCTTGGCAGTTGGCTGTTTGTCTGACTTTGTCTCAGAGGTTTTGGGTAATGACTTATAATTGTTTGATGCCTGCTTCAATGAAGTGCTTAGATCAAATGCGAGGCCTACATTTGTTTCTTCTACCGGTGCCCCATTTACTTTTCCCAAAAGTGCAGTTGTATTTTCCATGCTAGCAGGACTTTCATCTCTTGTTCCTGCGTCAAAATTTAAGGTCCTTCTACAAGACACTTTGGTAGATTCAGGCATTTCTTTAGTAAATTCTGTAGTCACTTCTGTTGGAGAAGTTTGTTCCAATCCTTTCCTTCTCACATACTTCCTCTTGGCAGTTGGGTTTTCTTTTGATTGAACAGGCTTTGGGGTAGCAGGCTTCCGAGTACTTTTGGGTTTGATTTCTTTAATTACCTTGGGACGGTGCTTTCTTCTCCTTGGTTTTTGTTGTGGTGTTTTACCAAGATCAGGATCATGAGTGCTTCCCTTATCCGGGTTGCCATTCTCCCTTAATGGTGAAGAAAGGGAAGCAGATTCTACACCAGGGTTGCAAAGCTCTATGCTGTTTGGTGGTACATTATTGTCAACCTCAGTGGGGACATTTCTCTCTTCCCCTCCTGGATCCTTTTCTTCCATATTGATTTGCATTGATGCTATTAGTCTGCTTGCTTCTTTGTTGCCACTGTCAAGGGTAAATGGGGTATCATGGGAAGTTGTCTTGCTACAGCAAGAAATGTATGTTTCTGTGTCATAAGAGAGTAAGCAAACCAGTGTAAGAGCAATATGGTCCCAGATAGATAAAGTATTAAAAGGAAATTAAAACAGAAGCTTATTGATAAGCAAATGGTGGATATTGTGCCAGTGAAGGTTTTATGAATGCCATAGAGCAACATGGTCTCAAGGTTAAGTTTTAGGGAGTAAAATGCATGCAGACATGCAAATAAAATTATTTTAGTCAGAAACTAGTTTGAATTTGAATGCATGCTAAGAAATTAAAAAATCAAATCTCATTTAAATAAAAAAACAGATGATGAGAAAATATAGCATGCCTAAGGTATATGCTCTTTGCTTTGGAGCAAACAGAAACCATTGCTACATATATCTAACTGAAATTTATCGAGTGTCCCCTCACTGGCTGTTGCTTGTTCTATTTTTTTTGTTCTACGTCATCATCAGTGTTCTGTGTAGATTCTTAATTTACCTTCACTACGATCATCTATTGCTCACTTGGTTCCAGTGACACGTGGAGGGGAAAATTTTATAAAATGGCACATACCAAATAGTAGTAAGGGCAAAAAATAGGACTTACCCTGAGGGTCCTTGGCATTGTCAAGGATGAACGAAGGAACAAACGGGTTCTTCAATCTATCATTATTCCTTTGTGTCACACCAGGGTTCCTTGATTCAGCCTCAACCGCAAACAAATGTTCACAAAATCCAAGTTTGCTGTAGCTAGAAACAGCATCTGAAGCTGTCTGTTCACAAGTTTTGCCGCTGTAACCGGCAAAGTTTGACCCATCATGTGGCCCGCAAATTTTCTCTTGGGCAAGTGAGAATTCAACACATGCAACTGCTCCATTTGCATGACCCATGTGGTTTCTCTCCAAAGGCGTGTAGATCGGCACTGGTTTTAGAGGAACGGGCTTAATAGGGGTGGTGGGGTTCCAAGGAACCTCAACTTGCGGCTCCTCTGTGTCCATTTCCCCAACCACCATTCACTTCCCCTTTTCAATCCTCGCTGAAAGGTCAAGAAAAAAGAGAAAACAATCAAAATTGCTGACCGGGATTATCTCAGGGTGCTCTCAGAAGCTCAATTTCCCGATAAAGGTCCCAACTTTGTTCAATCTCGACCTTTTTCTCACTTGAAGGAGCATCTTCACGGTTGAACCTAAAAGAATAAATAAAAAATGATAAATAAATGTTAATAAATTGGTGAAATTGAAGAACACGAATCAGAGATGCAGTTCTTAGTTGATGCCATAAAGGAACATTGACAACGGTGGGTTTGTAATTACCTTTCGCCGAGTAACCGGTGAGTGATGAGGCATGTTATTCAGTAATTGCAGAAGGGAATGAAGAATTTGTTTCTACCCAATTAATATTAAAAAAACCAAAACTGGTAGACTTTGGAATGTAACAAAGTAGAAGCAAAATAATGGCTGATTATTCTCTTTGGAAACTCCGCTTCCTGCTCAGAGTGAGCAGAATTTCTTCCATGCGGCAAACCAAAACCGAAATTAAAACGGAAAAATAGGAGAGATTCATGGGGAAGGTGGTTACGTAGAGTCAATGCTGGAGATCTAGGTATCACATGTATGTGGGGCTAAGTACTAACTTGTAAGCTCTCTCACGGAGTGAGCAGAGAAAGAGAAGGAACATGATTCTATCTGGTTGGATGTGCATTCAGAACTAGGTTAATTTCACTTCTATGTTCTATTAGGTTGAAGAAATCCACATTTAAAGTACATGGAATAAATGTATTTTAATTTTAACTTTCATATATAATTCATTGCTGACCGACGAAGATGCAGTCATAATAATCGCAAAAAGAATAATGTTATCCACACATGAACTTTTTCATACGTAACGCATGCATGCAATTTTAATTAAGAGTTTAATTTTAATACACTATCGATCTCTACTATCAGTAGCAGCCCTCCCATGAAAGCTGTTGCTCGCAGACAATATATATGGAGAGAAAAATAAAAGAATAATATTATTCGTACATCAAATTATATATAAAATTTAATTTTAATGTCTATGAAAAATTGATGAACAATTTTGTTAATTTTAAATTTACAATTTTACTCACAATTTGAGTTTTTCATTAAATGTTTAATTTTCAAAACTAAAAACTTTCATGTTTTTCATCAATGTATTATTTATTTTGGAAATGAGTTTCTTCTCTCCATCCCGGGTAAAATAAAATTATTTCCAGGTTAGGCTTTGTTTTTAAATTTTTTTTTAATATATTGCTTTTAGCTTTTACAGATTGAAAAAAACATAGTTGAAAATTTTATTTCCCAAAACCATTTTAATCCAATTGTCTTTAAAATTGAAGATATTTTTGAACCAATAAAATCAATATATTTTCAATATAGTACTTAATAATAAAAAATATTCTAAATCTTTTACACGGTATTTTTTTTTAAAATAAATGAAATTAAACACAATAAAACATGACTATGATCATAAATAAAATTATTTATTTATTTTTTACTTTTTAGTTCTTATAGTGTAGTGTTTGATGAATTGAGTTTCTCAAATTTTAATTGTTCGATTTCGGTCTTCAAATTTTCAAATAGTGTAATTTTATGTATTTAATAACTTCAAATTTAATATTTGTCTAAGATAATGACGTGATTTTTTTATGAGTAAGATTGACGTGATCGTAGAGTACTGATACGAGTGTTAATATTATTGACGACTTGGGTTCCAAATTTTTAGTTGGTCGATTTGATTTTCATAATTTTGAAAATATTAAAATAGAATCACATTAATACATATATGTAATTATTGGACACAAAATATATACATCATATTAATGTACAAAATTTTAAATTATCTTAAAAATACTTTCTTTTTTACTGTTATAAATGTCTTTCAACTTGTTAAATTAGAGACTAATTGCATTTCCAATACTATAACTTCGTTGGATCAATATCTTTCACACATGATAATATTAAAAATAGCCTAAGTCTTGGAATTTTTTCTTCATATTCTTACATAAAATATTTTTTTTAGGTAAATATAACTAGTTTTTAGAAATATAAAAGAATGAATAAAGTATTAATTTTTAACCTAATTATATTATTTTCTTTAAAAAGTAATTAAAATAGTTTTACAATTAAATATATTTTAGAAAATATTTTCACATTTTAAAATTAATATTTTTTAAATAATAAAAGAATTTTTATTTATCTATTAAATTATTTTCTTTAAAATTATAAAGAAAATTTTCCTTTAAATTATTTTAAATTTTGTAGTTTAATTTTATAATATTACTCTCGACTAATGTGCACATTCAAATATGTTAAATGACGGACTATTTTAATATTTTGTACTAAAATTAAAATAAATAAATTTTCATTATTAGTTTTAAGAGTAATTATTTTGGTCGTAAAATTAGTTTTAGTGAAAAATATAGAGTAAAATATAGTATATCTTTTAGGAAAAAGCAACGCTAATTTTAATATAAGTATAAAAATCAACATAATATATACATCTTTTGAGGTAGAAGATTGTAAATGATACTTTGGTAATATTGTTTTTACAGTAAAAGTTGACTGTACATTAACATAAATAAAATTTGAAAATGAAATATTGTTAAATATATTACAATCGGTTGGAGAAGGAAAAGTATATTTTAGTATAAGACAAGAGAGTGGAATTAATAAAAAAAATACATGATTATTTTTTCCATCTCTATGAAGTTTGAGAGAATGCAAATAATAGACATTTTCATATCAACAAATTAAAAAAATAAGTTATTTCTATCTTCAAAAGAAAAAGGTGATTTTTATTTTTGAGATTCTTTTAAATGATCATTAAAAGAGGCAAGATGAATGCTAGTTTAATTGAGGGGACCTTAATGTTCTACAAGTCTTTCTAATAGTAAATGCTTGTAATAAGTAGTCATTCTAATTTGACAAGTCTTTGGTCTCTAAAACTAATTTCTGATTCAAATCATTCACCTCAATGATTGGTAAGCTATTGAACATGCCATATTCATAAAAGAATATATTATAAATGATGTTTTAGTTGTGAAGAAAACTGAACTAATCTATCCAAATAGAAAATAAAAACTAATAAAAATGGAAAATTAGCAATTTTGTTTGATTTTTTCTCTCTCTCATGATTTAGTTTAATTTATGATTTGAAATGTGAAATCGGTTCAAACTAAATCATACTTATGTTTAAATACTTTTTTTTCCTCTCTAAATGTATAATATGAATGTAGGTATATGAGAATAACAATGTAACATTCTAAGTATTTTAAAATATTAAAAGGATGTTTTAATTAATTAAATAAATTTTTATAAAATATTTTATAGGTAGGTATATGAGAATAACAATGTAACATTCTAAGTATTTTAAAATATTAAAAGGATGTTTTAATTAATTAAATAAATTTTTATAAAATATTTTATAGATTTTTAATAATTATTAATATTTTTAATTAATAAAAGTTTTAATTAATTAAAGGGATTTTCTGAGAAATAATTAAGTTGTTTTATTTAATCATGTGTTTCAATTAATTTATTATTATATTTTGAAATAAAGGTGTTTTATATAGTGATTTATTTAATTATATTTTATTTAAGAAGAAACTAAAGGAAGGATGGATTTTTATAAATTAGGATTTTGAGCGTAGATAATTTATGCCTTTTATTTTCACGTTTACGCTTTATCTTCTATTTTTTTTTCTATTTTCATGTTGAAACTATTTTTAAGTAAGTTTCTCATCGGGTGTGACCTTAGTCATGGTAGGCACAATTGTTATAAATAGGGTTTTGTCCACTCCACTCTAAGCGTGATAAATGCCACAATTGGACATGTTAATGTTAGATTTATTTTTTATGATCTTTATAATTATAAGAATTGTATCTCTGGATGTTAACTTTTCAATGCCATTGTAATCACTCAAAAAGGAGGTATAGAACTCAAGTTATGATCAAATTAGTGAGCGAAGATTAAACTGTCAACTTTAGGCTAAATTGCTTCAATTTTATAATTTTTAAAAATAGTAAAGATAAAATTAACTTTTGAGGTCAACATAGAAGTTGTAGATTGTAATACTCATGTTTAAGGTGTATGTTGTAAGGGGTGTGGTTTAGTAGAAGATTGTTTTTGAGTTAAGTTGGTTTAAGTTTAGAAGGGGTTTATATGGATTTTCTTGAAAAAAGGGACTCATAACTTTAGTTTTTCAAAATTTTTTAGAGATAAAGTAGAGAAAGCTTCTTTGCAATCGTCCTTCCTCTTTTTTCACTAAGACCCATTTCCCCCTCTCTTCTTGTAGCTGATCCAACTAAGTTGGTGTGGGTGATTCAAAGCTCCAAAGCCAAGAGTCCCCAAGTTGAAGTCGTATAGAGCTCATGATCCTCTTCGTTCCTTTTGTCGGTTCTAGATTGCCAATGAGGTAATGGACGCTTGTGTTGTCTATAAATCTTGTGTAGATTGTCCTGTATAATTCATCTTGTTGTTGTTAAGGAAGATGGGATGATGGTTTTTATTATAGTGGCTGGTTTTGAATTTGTTTGCATGTTGAAGTTGGGGTTTGGGTTTGGATGCAAAATACATTAACTTGATTATGTAAATTTGGGTGCATGTCATTTTGGTGTGGATAAATTATTGAAAATGATGTTGTAGATGATGTTTAGGAAGAAAAACTGTGAAGTGTGGGTGAGAAACGAAGGAAAACCATGAATATGCAAAAAAAACTCTACACTTAGCATTGTAGTCGCAATTGAGTATTGCAGCCATGGGGAAAATTGGGTTGGCCAAGATCCAGCACTGCAATCGCAGTTGAATGCAGCAACCATGGGAAAAAATTGGGCTGACAGAAATCCAACGTTGAAATGCTAAATTGAGTGTTGTAGTAATGGGGGTAAATGACTGAATTTGGTTTTGGGGTCTTCATAAAAATTGTAGCCTTGAATGTTATTTTTCCAACAGGTTTAAAATCACATAAAAGGAGGTCTAGAACTCCATTTATGACCTTTTTAGTGAGTAAAAGTCAAACTGTCAATATTTGGGAAAATTGTTACGGTTTTATGATTTTCAACATGGTAGATGATGAAATTAGAACGTAAGGTATTCAAGAGAGTTGTAAATAGTCTTTTTATCTTTCATATGATATAAAAATTAGTTTTATTGGATAAATGGAACTCTAATTATGTTGTGTTATGTAGAAGTTGTTATTGTATGCTAATTGATGATTACATGTTGAAAATGATGTGTTAATTCTTTTATAGCATATGGTAATATATGATGTCCTAAGTTATTATATGATGAATTTTTATATGGATGATTATGTATGAGGATATTTAAAGTTTTTTACGTTATGATTGAAGTTGTTATGTTAAGATTGCTATACATGTTGTAAGTTGTACTAGTTGTTGGAAGATTGCCCATTAAGTTATTCAATTATTATAAGTTGCTTGACTTAGTTGATTGTCAAGATGTTGCTTCCATTGATGTATGCTTAAAGTTGTAAAGCTACTTTGATGTTTTAAGTTACTTCATAGTTGTAAGATGGATGCTGACAGTTGTTAAAGTTGAAAGTTGTAAAGTTACTATGTACAAAATATTGTGTTTATTATTGTTGTTAAGTTGAGAGTTGGTATATATGTTGAAAGATGATTAAGTTGAAAATATTGAGCTGATATGATGTTATGCTCTTGTGTAATTAAGATGTAAGTTAAATGATGTTTGAGTTG